TGAGTGAATAATCCCAAGAATACAGTGTGAATGATCTAGAAAAATTAGTATTTATTTACTATAAATTGTGCGTCAGCGGTTTCTCAAAGCGCAGGTTTAAAACTCAGTTGTGACTAAACAGATTCTCTACCTAACACCATCATATAGTAATTAAAGAGAACATTGCTGCTGATAATGAAGAGTATCAGTATCAACACATATTTTCAACACGTGATTGTGTTTACACTCAGGAAAACTATATTATGCCACCAATCAAAAACAATTGCTTATAGCTGCTCCAAATGGATGCAGAGGGGAACACAAATAAACAACAGTGTAATAAACATCAGTATATACCAGTAAAAAAAAAAAAACCTGACCAACCCATTTATCCTAATATTATATAACTAACAAGATTCAAATAAGAATCCAGTCATAATAAAAATCCACAATGACAAGCGAAGCGAAACTCACAGACCACAAGTGAGACTTTGCAAATCTAAACATCAATATCAAAAATAAAGATAATGCTGCTGGAATTACCTTTTAAATTAAGTACTCCAGCAGCATGTTTCACTCAACATTTAGGGGGCAACCACAGTCTTCCACTTCAGTATGCCAAACATTATAGTGCTGTAATAGTTTGGGCCCCCCTTGAGAATTGTATTTGCTGTGCTATAAAATTAATTACCAAAGACTTTATGGAGAACTATAGAGATTTCTATTACAGTTGGGTAATAAAAATGATATTTAGGTTTTGGGAATCTCAGTGCACTCCTTGTTTTATCAGAGCTTAGTTAGTAGACAAAGATTTAACATTTCCTCTTTGGCTGCTCATGACCCAAAGGTCTCTTGGGTCATGTCATAGCAACAGGTTATCAAATCTCACTTATGGTTGGCTTTATGGCAAGGTCATCATGATTGGACATAGTGTATAAACTTAGCATTTGTATCACATACCCTTTCTTTATTGGCCCTAAAAAGGGTGTGACAGGCTAATTAAAACCAATCAGGACTATGGTCTTCCTCTTGTGGACTTCAATATTAACTTGTTATAAAGGACAATTCAAAGTAGAACTCAACTACCTTGAAAACATAGAGCCTCCGTCATTATTTAAAGTTATTTGGGTTATTTGCTCAAATCTGGAACACAGGTTGAGCAAAAACAAAACAAAACAACAACAAAAAAGATCTGTCCAGCAAAGTTATCCAGTTAAACTGTGTTATGCAGGCCAGATTCTTAAGTTAAAATTCAGTATTTTACACACTCTAGTCTTTGTAAGTAAACAATGCTGTGGGTGTATCCTAAGTAGTATAACCCGGACAAATGTAGCACACCACAGGCATCCAACCTCGGAGGCCACATACCGCTGTGGCTACCTGCTGTAATGTTCATGTCAACAGAGTTTCATTTGAAAACCTTTTTGCCGCACAACAAATTGTCCAAAACAGAAGGCTTTGCCAAACATTTTCACAGCACAGTATTCCTGCCCGATGTAAAAATAGAAATTTAAATGAAATTGGCATCCATGATGTAATATGTACATAAAAAAGCAGAGATTTGTAATGTCCAGAAGAAACTCTACAGCACCACTAGGATTCAATTACAGAAATGTGATTCATCTCTACAACTTCCTGTCACAATTATGAATCTGTATTCTACTATGTTAAAGGAAATACAAATAAAAAGATTAAGAGGTTCAAAAAGACAATAATGTTAGTGCAACATCAGACCTGCTGAGATGGCAAAAAGTAGATCGGTTAGGCTGTTACACAGAATACAAGTTACAACATCCCCACCAAAATATCACACATAATTTTCCAAAGCTCCTGAAGGAAGTGATGCAACTGAAATACTGTAAATGAATGTTTTAACCAAGGCATATAATGGTAACAATATTTAAAATAAGCCACTGACACAATAACGAGTATCTTCCTTTACTTGGGAAAAATCTAACAAATTCAGGCTAAATGAACTTAATAAATTAAAAATAATGTAAACAATATTGTCAGTAGCTGCTCTCACAGTATTGTGCTCGTCATCAATGGAATCTGTACTTTCGTGCAGGCTTGAGGTTGACATACGTCTTCTTCATGTCCTCTGCCTCGTCTTTCTTCACAAGTTGATATCGCTCCCCTTTTGTGGTTACCACCTGGTTGCCGTGGTATCGAACGAGTTTCTTTGGAGCCTGTAAACACCACACCAGAAAGTGTAAGTTTTATTGCATGAAACAGATCTGATAAAGATACATTGTGAATATGGAGTATAACCAGATGCTGACATCTTTTGGGGGGACAGGCCGGTGTGTTTTGTTATCGTCCTCATTGTCCACCAGCATGTACCTATGGAGAAACATAGTCAGAAACACAGAAACAGAGATGTTCTGCTCTCCATAGTATAATAGCAATCTTACTCACTTCTCGAGGATGCTCTCTTTAAGTTTCTGGTCTGCCAGTGAGGAAATACTCTTCCCATGGTTTACCTGAGGTAACAGGATACTATCCTATCAGACTGCTAACATACACAAGGAAGTGGCTGACATGAAATACCGTGGCAATGTTTATGTGTGTAGCTGAGACTCACATTTAGAGGAGTTGGGCTGAGTTGGACATCGCCCTCTATGATAAGGCGCACAGCTTCCTCCATGTCTCCTTTGGCAATAGACAGGGCACTGCGAGCCTCGGACAGACTACACTTGGGAAACATCTCCAGCAGGTGCTGCTCCTGGGCCTCCCACTCAGACACTGGTAGCTGGACATATACACATTTATGTTGACTCTTATTTAGAGGAATGTAAACAATATCAACAGTAGAACACACAATGAGCACAAGTTAAATAATAATAATTAAAAAATTCAAACACACCAAGAAAGAGAAAATAATGTGGTGATGTGTGCTGAAATGATAACCTTGGCGGTGGCGCCCTCTGTCTGTGTTTTAAGGCACTGTGTTTCTTTTTCTGGGGGAGGTTCACTGAGCAGGGTGGTGAGTTTCAGTGAAATCTCATCTGTCCTTGCCTTAGGCACACCATTTTCTTCGTCAGCTAAAAAGGGAACAACAACAAAGTAACATCAGTACACTGTAGCATAAACGTTAGGCTGACGGTCTCCATCTAAGATGAGCGTCACTGCCCAATAAAGCTTTAGTTAGTTTGTTTGGGTGACTCTTCTGGCAACATTATGAAAACAAATTAAGACAAAATTTGCAAAGGGTAATACTGCCACAATACTTAATGTATTAGAAATAATGATTAAAGCACTACCTGAGGTCCGAGCATTGGCTAGTTTTGAAGCCAGGCTGAACATCATTTCACAGACTTTGACACTGCAAAATGAAAATACACATTTGTAATAACAAATGACAGAGGAATGTTGTCCGGCCTTGTTTCTCACAGATGTATGTTTACCTCTCAATTTCAGCAAAACCAGGTATGTAAGCTTCTAGCATCTCTGCAAAGACCTCCATGTCAAAGTTCTCCTCGACGCTCTGCTGGGAGCCAAGATCCTCCAGGACGCCAGTAATGTAAGACAGAAGAACATCATCCAGTGTGCTGCATTGAAGGGTTAAAAAAAAAAAGAAGTTACTGTGAAGGTTGACTGAACTTAACATTGCTGTGCGGATGCAAAAATTAAAAAAATAGTTCACCTGAGATCTGCATCAGGAATGTAGTTCTGAATAAATTCGTGCAGCGCACTGTGGATGATTTTGTGGAGGTCCATTGTTCTCCTACTGTGCAGTAGAGGGAATACTGGAGTTGGGGTACAGCAGGTGGTTAAGGCAGTTATAATAAGTTGACTGCAAACCTTAAATAAACCCAGGTTACCAGTTATGGTACACCATCAGCTCGGACGTACACGTAAATGTTACAAAAGCATTTCTTACGAAAGCTTGGTTGTGAAAGCTTGCTGCAGCATCTTTACAGTAGTGGTGGCCAATATTTATGTTTTACGCACAACCTACATGAACCTCACGATTCACTCCAGCAAAAAGAAGTGAGGATGCAACGATAACTCACATTAAAAAGGTACTTCATGTATTTACTACGTAACCTTACTAGGTAATGCTAGAAACACCGCTTTTGCATCAAACTCACGCAGCTACAGCAATATAACAACCGTGCTAGTGTTGTTTGCAGCGTTAGATTTGCAGCTACTCGGACATTAGCTTGTTATCAGCTAACATAATGGTTCATTAATAACGCCACGGATACGCTAGCATTAGCTAAGCCGCTGCAGGACACTCGTGTTTAAGTAATTCGTCACATTTTCTCAACATTATCAGTGTTCACTCATCAACGAGATTAACCTTCATATGCAGAAATAACGTCACCGTTAGCTAGGCTTGTAAGCGAACAAGCGTTTATTTATTTATTTATTTATTTTTTGTTAATGTTATTTAACTGCTAGCAAACGGTTAACGCCAAACCAGCCTCGGTTATTTGTATCGGAGAGACTTTAAATTGGGTTGAACTTACTGTGACAGAGATTATAGAGACATGAAGCTCAGAGTTTTCCCCAGATGTAAGTTAACAGGGGAGGATGGTCAGAGCAGTGCTTTCTATCCGTGATGCGTGTTAGCCCGCAACATTCAAAACATCGGCACGTCATTTCCGGTGACTGTAAACAAGCCTGGCTAAATTATAAAACAATATTATTTATAAAAATATTATTTTATGATTTCTGTCTGTGAGACTTGTTTGGATTGATTGTTTTACGTGGATTTAAAATGGCGGTGGAAGGTATAAAATATTTTTAGTTTAAATCTCCTTGTGTTTACTGTTTTCACATTTTAAATGGTCACAATAAAGAAAATCCCACCATAGAGAAAGACACTAAAGCATTACATCCTCCTTACTACTCCTCCATTGCAAGGACTGTATTTCTCTGTTGTAAGTTATATAAGTTAATTGCCAACTGAATATTTTGGGGGGTTTGGGGCATTTTATAGAGCAAAACAATTAATTGATTAATTAAATATTAATTGACAAAGAAAATAATTGTTAGTTGCTGCCCTACATTACATGGACGAAGCACTGTGAGAGCTATCAAGACCATGTACATACAGTGCCTTGAAAGCAATTTTCTTTCTTTTTTCAGTTTTATCCTTAATATACAAACTAAAATCCTAAAAAATGCAGCTACATATCACACGGTTAACCCTTATTATAGAAGTTAACTATTCTGTCGACAATATTTCATATGTCACAACATTGTTATTTATCTATTTCACACAGCATACCTGAAAGGCATTCATTAAGGGGAACATACAGCAACATATTATATTTTAGAGACTTTACAACATTATGTGTGATGTTTTGACGCAACAGAAAAATCTCAGGGAGATGTCAGTTAACTATTGACCCATTCTCTGTGCTTTGGTGACTCTAAACTGTGAAGCAGGACTCAAAAACAAGGAACAAGCAGGAACCTGCATTAATATGATTCTATAATAAATTCTACTGCTTCCCATGAAAGCTGCATCTTCTCTAATAGGTGGTTTATAACATTGATTCAATACAATTTGATACAGGGCTCACAGTATCATTTTTCTAATGATTATTTTCTAACAAAATGAAATTATAGATTTTTTTTAGATTTCTGAGGCATATTTCCTTTTGTGAAATGAAACTGTCTTTGTTCCTTGATACCACGATTGATAGACCGATTGATTCTTAATTTCACTGATTTGAATCTTCACATATTTGTATCAGCTGTCTTGCAATATATCTGTACATTCCTTATAGGTGGTGTCTCACAACTGGTCAAAGCCATAAAACACTTTTTGTAAAATCGTTTTCATGTCTTTCAGCTGTCATCAAACATTTGTCTCACAAATGATCACATTTAATTTTTTTCTCCTGCCCCACTGAAAAACTGGCTTTTACAGTTAAGTATAGAGCTAACACGTTTGTGTGAAGCTTTCTGTGACCCATGTTTGGTTCCTGACTCGTTTGAACACTGGTCTAGCCTACATTGGGCCAGTAAATAGTCTACTCTCACTTAGACATTATCTTATATCTTTTGCCAGATCCATACATAGTTGATGATCAAGGTGTTATCTGAGGCAACATCAATGATGTCATCAGATCCTGCTCTCAGTTACCTCCGCCTGTGTTGGTATTATAGCAGATATGTACCTGTAAATCATTAATGCCCATTCAATTGTTTCCTTGCTCCCTTGGCAGTATCTCTTGCCGGCTGTAGTATTTCATCAGGAAATATGGTACAAGCTACTGATAAAACAAGCAAGAACAATTCTCAACTTGGCTGAACTCTGTTTCAACTCATGAGCTCATGGCTAGACAGGTGGGGCTGAGGTATCAGGGCAGAGCGTGTAAAATCTACTGCAAAGGAGTGCATCTCGGTTTTCTCGTGTGTGTTAACAGCTGACACTGAGAGCAACCTGCAAGCCATATAACACATTCTAATAGACTGTGACACATTCAGTAGCATCAAAATACTATCACGTTATGTTCACACTGGCATTAAAATTGTACAGATTCAAGCTTCAGGCAACATTTGCTCACACTTTTTCACACGAACAAATTCTTAACTGTAA